TGAGTATCAAAATCGGGTTTTTCTAACCAATGGTTAAATTAATTTTTGGAAACAAATTTTTAAAACTTGTTTATAATTACATGACTAGTTTGTGAGGTGAGTACAATTACACATTCAGTTACCCGTGGATATCATTTTAATTAAATGTTGCAAAAATCCGAATAATTTAATATTTTTAACACAAACAGGAATTTACGTTCAAATAAAATACATTAAATACAAAATAAAATGTTCAGTTAGGAACAATAATTAGCAAAAACAAAGTACTCATTAAACATAACAAATTAAAATCATAAACTAAACAACAATTTCATTGCAATCGGTTCATACAGAATCTTATTATAAATACGGTATATTCACTCAATTTAATGATATATGGGTGCAATTTTTTTTAATAATTGCAATATTATTCAAAGTTTATTTAAATTTATAATTCAAATAAAATAAATGTTTATATAAATTAAACTAAAAAAGTGCTTCAACTGAATGAATAACCACTCAAATGATAGCCACAACAAGAATTGGTACGGAATGTGAGGACTTTGTTGTCATTCATTGTGTTTACATGAGTGCCAAAACATGTGCGAAATATATTTGTAATGAATTTTCTTAAATGTCTTTTTAATTGTAATTATCATTCAATTCTTTAGATTTCTATTTAATATGTCTTTTCACTCGAGAATTATATTCTCGTATTTTGCGGACAAATAATACATTTTTTAATATCTCTAATATTTATCACTTTAATAGAGAATATTCTTTATATGATTATAAATATTTTAAATAATGTCTCAATTAATTGCATTATAATCTCAACACTGATTACTGCCATTTGAATCAAAAGTATTTTGTTTTCTTAATGTATATTATTGTCATATCTTTTGATTAAAATTATGTTCAAAATATTTCTGACTTTTATTTTATGTCTCGGGATTCATGTATGGATCAGCCATCGATTGCACAGGATATCCATCATTTGAAACTCGATTACTACACATTAAAAACATACAATTTATTGCATATTTCAATGCCATTCCCAATCCATTCCCAATTCATTGGTCTACTATTAGATGGGATACGTCTCTGAACTGGCAGTCAGTGAATGTTGATTAAAGTCGCGAGCATTTGGATACTGTTTTTAAATAGCGCACTGAATACTACTTATTCTTTTAAAAACTAAATATCCTGACTAGTTTAGCATTAACTGGTTATATTAAGCCTGATTATATAAGTTACTATTTATATGTCCGATAGAGGAACAATAGATCTTTCATTTAAGCCCTCAATCGGTCCAATCGGTTAAGAAACACAAAAGTTGTGAATGGTCAAAGTTCACCAATTTTGCCTAAATGTACAGGATGTGCCCATATTTTTGAAATTTAAAAAATTTTTTTCAAGATTTATTCTAAGATTTTCCCAAATTATGGGCACATCCTGTACATTTAGGCAAAATTCGTGAACTTTGACCATTCATAACTTTTGTGTTTCTTAACCGATTGGACCGATTGAGGGCTTAAATGAAAGATCTATTGTTCCTCTATCGGACACACACCACACTTACCGGATGTGGTCACCGGAAGTGACCGGAAAACGTGTCCCGGAGATGGTCCCGAAATTACATAGAAAGCGTTAATATTGAAAAATTATTTTTTGTGCCTAAAATTCTCGGATAATACTTTATTCTAATAATATAATAATAATATTTTACATAATAATAACAACATATAGCAATGTGTTACATAACAAGTCGATTGACAATATTCATCATTTCAAACACCATTCGCGCAAAAAAAGTTTAAAACTTTAAATACGTATAAATATAATAAACATGTTTTATACGAGCAGGTCAATTATTACATACATATTAAATAACCTTGGGTTTTATTCAAACTAATATTTCTAATTTTTAAGTTGGTTTTTTATAACTTTTGCATTAAATGCTTTTTGTATTTATTGATTAAACACTTGAATCATATTAATATGCTTTAAATTAGCATTTCCCCCTTTTACCCAAAACAACCATTTTTTGGGAATTCCCTTTTAAGGGAAACCGACTCCCTTTCCCCCTCCAGGTCTGCAATCAATTCAACATAAATGATTACGTATTCATAAATAATAACACCAACAATATTTCAATGTCAAGTGAAATCTAATGGTCTACTATTAGGTGGGATACGCCTCTGCACTGGTAGTTAATGAATGTTGAGTTGATTAAAGTCGCGAGCATTTGGATACTGTTTTTAAAAATGTTTCCGATTCTCTAAATAATGGCACACTTTTGTATAAATTAATATCGCTTTAAATATTTCATTATGATATAGCGCACTGAATACTACTTATTCGTTTTAAAAACTAAATATCCTGGCTAGTTCATCACTAGCTGATTAAATTAAGCCTGATTATATAAGTTATTATTTTATTAATTATAAAGTTTACTAAATTTAGTTATTATGTATTTGGTTGCTTTAATTGTTTGTATATTGTATTTGCCACATCACACGCTATGTGAAACTGATATGGGTAAGTGCTATTTTAATTTATACATAGATGCAACAAGCTAGTTTTTAGCTAATTAACTAGGGTGTCCACTTGATGAGAATATACTTATCAAGTATACTTGATGAGAATGTACACATAAATATTTGTTTTATTAGTAATTTATCGTCAAATTCAAGTTAATATACAGTATAATGAACTTGAAACTTAGGACGCACTTATGACTTGGTGACTATTGACTTATCACTTAAGACACCACCCTGGGACATATTACTGTATAATGAAAGATGTACGTATGAGTACAGTAACGACCGAAAAGTGGACCTGTATTGCACTTTTCCCCGAACCAATTACACCACATTATACTCGATTAAAA